CAAAGACGCTATATAAGTAATTTTGATTCAGGCCTACCCAAAACCAACTGGTGTGTCTAACACAGTGGCTGCTCTTAAATTTTCGATCTGTAACATTGTTCTTCTCCCCTATGCAGATCTGAATGTGGCAACGGCCATGTTGGCCCTGTTCAGCCTGTTCCTGATGGCGATGGGAGCCATCTGCATCACCATGTCGCTCAGTAAAGAAATCCTGTTCTTCCTCAAGCCAGCGTCCGTCTGCTTCATCCTGTCAGGTCAGTAAAGGTAGCAGCAGACCGGACGAGCTGCTGTATGATCCATGAAACAACCTGTTGATATTTAACCTGTCCTCTGTAGGTGTCCTGGTGCTCCTCTCCCTCATGGTCTTCCACCAGTCTGTCCTGGCGTTTCTGGCCAGCGACCACACGGTTCCCCTCCACCACGAGCTCTCCTGGTCGGTGTCGTGCGTCGGCTGCGCGGGGGCTGTCCTCATCGTGGGCGGAATCCTCTTCCTGCTGCTGGCGCTGCCCTACAGCCCCTGGCAGAAGTGTCTCCCTCACAAGGACAGCAGCAGCTAGTGTCCCAGAGGCGACGGTGCACTTTATCTGCCCCGCTCCGTGAGGAAGGGGAGGGTGCAGAGAGGTGAGGAAGTTTCCCAGAGATGTCTTAGCAAAGAGATTGCATTTTTTTTTTTTTTTTTTTGTGTTGACCTTAAGGAATTACAAGTGTGTTAACGGGAGACTGATGAGAGAGTCACTGGAATTTCTTTAATTTACTGCACTGACCCAAGACAAAACACATACCAGTGTCTTTTCATTACAACAATGTTTTTTTAGCATAACATACCTTCTGGATTTCCTGACTGTTGATCTATAGTGCCATGATAGTTTAGTCACACATGGAAACAGCTCAGTGCTAAAAGTCTCCAAATCAAAACAAAATGCACTTTCATATACGATAGTGATCTTAATGCTCCGATGTGTGTGGGATGCACTTCTGTATTGTCTTACTAATGATCCTGCAGGGTTCGGAGGCAATTTACTGGAAAATAGTCGAGTTAATTAAAAATATTTGATAAGAAAATAATCACGCAGTAAAGTTCTTCCCCCCCAAATAATACATATTTCAGTCTGACATATACTCAAACTACTCTAAATGGTGTAGCAGCTTAAAGTTCACAAAGTGATTCTCTGGTTTGAATGTGACTTATTTACGGTTTAATAACACATTTATCTTAAACATTTATCTCCTCCTTATTTATCATCTGTGCTGGTAATGTAACCCAGTAACTAATTATTGCTTATTTTAATGGAATGTCTCTGAGCTCAATGTGCAAACAGAAGGATCACTCCATTTAAAAAATAAACAAATCTAAAAAAAAAAAAAAATCCCACCTGATCCCTGCAGCATCACCTGATGTTCTGTCAAATAAATTTGGCATATTTATTGAAGCCATGTAAAATTTTTACAGTCGTACTATAAATACTTTTGGAATTCGAGGCTCTGGAAGTACACAGGAGTGGGTAGAAATTTGAATGCTTTTAAATTTGTGTTTCATTTTTTCACATCCATTTTAAGCCCTCTTAACTTCACAAGTACAGGAGATGGACACATGACATTTTCAGAGTGAAAAACACAGAGTTCTGTTTAAAAGAAGAAAAAAAAAAGCAACCAAATTAATATTACATCCACTCCAGGTGCCACAATCAAAATCCAAAAATGTTGTTTTGTGTTTTTTCTATAACCAACTGGGAGCATCAGTATCATGGATTACAGCATAGATGCAGAGAAAAGTTTAAGAAAGTGGGTTCTGGGTAAGAGTTTACGAATAATATCTCCAGTGAATTATCAGAAAACACATAAGACATCCTGGGTACCAGTGCTTGTTTCTGTTACTCCTTGCCATAGACATTAAACTGGTGCTGTCATGCTATTGTAACTATGATATACACCAAGTTCCAGGGAGTAAAACACTTGGAAAACATAATAAAAAAATCACACAATTTCGACCCCTATGTGCTTCAAGAGCCAGTAACTTGGAATGTGTCCTTAGTTTGTTGCATGGTTTGATTAAATACACTGAAGTTGTTGTACATAAAAAAAACAAAAAAAACAGCTGATCCTGAAGGGGTCGGGAGGACGGTATTGGTTGAACTAGACTGACCCAAGAGATCAAGAATTTTGTAAATCCCCAAGTTAAGGTTTTTAAACTCAACGTTTGTCATGTCTATTTATTCATCGATGGACAGCATTGCAATCTTACAGCAGTTACATTCGCCACCGTCTTATCCGAAACGCTGACCCTTTACTGTGGTTACACTTTGAAATCTTCCCAAATAGTTTCGAATCCGCCTCCTTTTCTGCTCAGGTAACAACAGTCCACAACACAATCGTCCCTCCTTGAGTATACTGACCTCCAGTCTGAGAGCCTCATTTAAGAAACTAGTTTATTCTCAGTGGTGTGTGAAAAAGCAACATTTTGTTTGTCCTCCAAATGCCTTCCCTTCAGCAGAGCTGCCTTCGAATTGTCTATAGTGTTATTTTTGTTGATCTTTGTACATTGAGATGTTGAGACATTAATCAAAAATACATAACCATTGCATAACCATATACAACCCTTTTGTATACCCTATTATATTATTCTTATTACATGAATTTACTTTCAAAGGGACAGCTTTGCCATGTGACAGAGTTCTAATATCGTAATGGTAAAAACATGTTACATTTCTATGTATTTATTATCTGTGTCTGCTTATAAATGCAACAGAACGCAACTTGTCTTCATCCCATGCATTGTATAGCGGCTGCATACATTGTAAGATGTGTAATGTAGGTGCTATGCAAGCAGAAAAATAATAAAGATTTATAGTGGAGTAGAAGCTACACAGTGTTAAATCAGCTAGAAGTGTGAGCCGCTGCCATGTTTTTACCTCCAGTGTTTCTCGCGGATGATTTATGTTAGAACAAAGTGCTTTGCTGTGCCTGAATGGAAGGTGAACCATCTCTGCAACTTTTTTTTTTGAACTGAATCGATTGAGTATGAATGAGTTCATTTTATTATTAAACATGACATGAATATTTAATGTCACCCTCTCTCCTGTTCCATTTCTCTCCTGTTCTGCACTCTCGACACGTTCTCGGCTTACAGTCGCTGCCTCCTCAATAGCTGCTTTTATCAGCCATCCCACTTTGCGCCTCATGATGGAAATGACTGCGTTAACTAGCGACACATTGCATTTAAAACATCCTCTTCGGGCTTCTTGTTTACTGGAATTCCATTAGTTTTAAATGTTACACATAAATTATGGGAGTTTAATGAGCTATTGATGTCACTCGAAACAATACTTTGGAAAGGTTGAACATTTTATTCTAAAATTTAAGTGCGGAAATGAAACCCAAAATCCATTTAGAGCTTTAACACACAAACACACTCACTTTATGCTATGATTTGTGCACTTGTTAAGAAAGTAGTAAAATGTTGTTACAGGGATATTTACATCTTAAAATGTATTACACAGACACTATTGACACATTTTGTGCTTCCATAGAATAGAATAGAAAAATACTTTATTTATCCCAGTCTGGGAAATTACTGGATTTCCCATACATTGCTTGTCTCACAAAACATCATGCATTCGGAATTATTTCTTGAAAAAAATTCTCCCTATAAGAGGTAAGACTGAGATGCAATAGGAAGGGTTTGTGTTTGAAAGAAAGAAAGTCAAAAAGTCTACCTGAGATAGGAAAAACAATTTGGTTTTCACCCGCTGTTTGGTTAGGTTTAGCAAAAAAAAAAACATGATTTGGGTTTAAGGATGACCCCAAAAGGATGACCCCTCTCCATTTGCCAACTGTGTGGAACTGTTATTCTTGGTCTTGGGTTTTTAGTCACTGTTTAGTTTGGTTTAAAAAAAAAAAAGTCACAGTTTGGGTTAAAATACAACCTTTCACAGCATTTTAAAAGCTTCCTCTCTGTTTTTTAAGGCCATAGGTGTTGAGTTCTGCCCCGTCTACTATATATATGTTTGGTTGGCTAAAATAAACAAAAAGAAATCAACAATAAAGCGATAAAATCAAGGCCAAAGGTTTGTTGATTGGACATGTTGTTATATGCAGCAACAATAGTAATCTGGCAGAAAATTCCTCAAAACGTAATTGCGTTTGCAGTTTTTTTGCAGTAATTTTTAAGCAACAGTGCTGGTTGTAAAGGTAGAGTGAAAAACCAACCATTTCACATGCCACAATCCCATTAAGGCAAAACAAATATGTAAATATATAAAGAATAATAATAAATCACACAAAATGAAAAGAAACCGAAAGCTTAAAAGAATGTCTGAAATGAGTTGGGATTAACTTTAATTTATTAATGTAAGATGCCACCAAATGCCATCAGGTGTTAAGTAATAAGACTTATGGATTTGTGCCTACTGCTTGTTGAGGAGTCACTACATAGGCTGTATATGAGGTGGCAGATGTAACACCAGAGCTTTATGAACTTATAAACAACAGCAGGAGGGGAAAATGCTGTCGTAATGTTGTTAACCTCTGGTTTTTCCAATATTTAAGTTACGTTACTCGAATACATTGCCATTGGAATTTAGCCAAAACAAGCCATCTAAAACATGTTTTTGTTCCTTAAGAATATGTTTTTTTTTAACAAGATTTTGCTTTTATTTTGATAGTGCAGTGGACAGAGACAGGAAAGAGAATCCAGGTGGAGGGGAGTCAAACCAAGGACTGTAAAATACCTTTTTTAAAGACAGGCAATCGAGTGATGCTGTTGGCATATGGGATTTTGTTCACAGCACACTGTAGTCTTAAACTAGCACTGTGTCAGTTGGGTTTGGAGTCCAGCCAGTGTTTACAGTTTCTGGTTTCTTTGTAATAAGGCAAAAATAAACCGCAAAAGATGACACTGTGTCTTTTATTGGCCTGATCTGCGTAAACGAAACAAACCAATTTCAAGCCTTTCTTCTATCTGACCTGTGTCAAAATGGCATTGAAAATGTGCAATCATCTTGATATCACTTGCCATAGCAAAAAAATATGAACATCTTAGCTATTTAATAGGATCGTCCACCTTTCCAAACATTAAACTTCTTTCAAATACCAGATTTGTGCCATACTGTGAAGAGCAGCGGGACATAAGAGGAGGGAGAGAGAGTAATGACATACAACAAAGGTCTCTGGCTAAATTTGAACTCAGGATGTAGCAGTTACATGTTACATGCTGTTATGTGATACAGTACATATTTAGACTCCCATAACAGCGTTAGGGCCCTTTTTAATTTATACAAGCTAATTACTCTGAAGTCATAATTGCGATATTTTTAACATATCGGGTAACTTCGAGTGACATGCTGGAGATATTTGAGGAGTTACATCAGCCTGTGTGATTATATGCACATCAATAAATCATCTTGTGGTATTTGGCCAACTTTTAAAATATAGGTACATGACACTGAGGGTCACAGATATAAACAGTGACTTGTATGCTTTTTAAGAGTGTATTTCCTTCCAGAGTGCTCAGATTTGTGGTTTCAGTCCTCCTCCTAGACCCTCTAAACACCGCTACCGCTGGTTCAGTTCTCGTTATCCTGCTCCCAGCACATCTCTGTCATCGTGTTGACCTCCTTCCAGACTCACGTCTCTCTGAACCGTCTCCCACGCTGTTTGGCTGCGACCTCCTGGCTAAATATAGACCGTGGCCAATAGGACTGACGTAGCAGGAGAAACACAAACCTCGAGACAAGCTGTGCGCACAAACACACTCAGATCCACTCGTTTGGACACACATGTGCGAGCTTCGGTTTGTTCGTACACTGAACACGATGACACAGTCAGAACCCATGTTGAACTGAACCCCCGTCGCCGTACGTTTCTGACGTCACCCGACCCACTTCACTGCGCCGCAGAGATCAAATTATCAGCATCAGTTTAACTGGAGAAGTCATAAAGTGAAACCAGCATGGATCAGTTAAAGCTAAAACTTTCCTCTTCGAGTCAGCAGTCTGCAACAGGCCTCCTCCTCCTCCTCCTCCTCCTCCTCCCCATGTGTTGGGTCAGTTTTTACACTCTGCCACCTGTCACTCATGTTGATTCTCCGTCTGAGGAACTCGGGGGATAATCGGACACCGCTAGCTTGCTAAGTAGAAAACCTAGCAAACTGGCTGACATCCCAGTGGTCTGTCAGTAAACTGTCCATCACTGCATCACTGATCAGCCTTTCTGCCTCCCCGAGAGGCTGCTGAGAAAATCAGTGTTTCTCTTTTCTCCCTGCTCCTGTCAAGCTTTGCACCACTTATTTCTTTCACAGGATATGTTTTGAAGTTTTTATGTCAGATTGACCCTTCTGTACCCTTGTAGCCACAAAGCACCTCATCAGTAACTCCTCAACACCAAAGACAAGTTGAGGCAAACTGACTGAAGCACATAGACACAGAATACCGTACTGTCACCACTTTTCAGTAAGCCAATTACACATTCAATGGTGTGGGACTGGTCACCCGGGGAACCCCAAAAATGTAGGAGAAGCTTCAAACATCTTGAGAACTGTTCATGGTTTAATCGAAAGTTTGATGTTTTTCTGAACCCAACCGAACGTGTGAAAACAAAACTTTAGTCTCGGAATAATGGTTGCACATGGGAAATGAACCCTTGTCTCCTAAATGAAAGATCAGTTGCTGACTTACAGCTTTATTATATTGCCTTGCAGACACGCACACTGACAGCTGCAGACATCCACAGATGCACAGTTGTACTATGCTACATTTTGAGTCTATTTGGAAGCGTGGTTGCATAGGTGCAGTCAGACGTATCTATGTATTCTGGGCTGCACATGGGCATTCATTGTTTCCATGTCCACGTGTCTGCAAGGGTCCGCGTGACATTCATTTCATCATTCACCGAAGTCCATGAAGGTAACCCCTCTGGGAACGTCCATGTGCAACCTAAGATTTGTGACTGCACAAACTGTTATACGCTGCAAGGGTAAAACTAATCTGTCTCACACAAGTGTAAATGTTCCATATTAGTGTTTGAACAGTCCAACGCTTGGTGAATTCGGCTTCACAATGATAGGAAAAGCTGACATGGAAAGATCAAAAAGTGACATTGCTATCAACGCTTACTTGCCACAAGCTAGTTATACCTGTGGTAACTTTTCTGACACCTTCTGCCTAAAACCCAAAAAGTCAGAAGGATCGTAAGGCCCCTCTTTCATGGTCTATATTCATACTGAAAATCAAGATCAAGTTTTTGACCTTCTACTCCACAAGAGGTTTCTGTCTTCCCTGGGTTCGCCTTAGGACACCTGAGTTACTGTTTTGCAGGTTTCACAACTGACTATGAATGCAGCAGAGAATCAAATAGTGCTTAAGACAACTGCTTGTTGTAAGGAGAGACTGTACAATGATATTCTCCAAAAGCCACACCTTTATAATTCACTATAAACAGAGTTGAAATTGAAGTAGCCACTGCAGGACTTTTGAAGTGCTTTGATTTGTATGTGCTTTCCATCAATAGAGCCTAAACACAGTAAGAAGTTCTAAATTCTCCCAGTGTGCTATGCACACCTCCAGAATAATCCCTTACATGGTGCTACAGTCCGATTTGTAACAAGCTGCCATATTCTGTAAAAAGTGTAAAGTCACAGCCTTTCAGAAACATCCATTGGAGCCCCACGTGTATTTCTGATATGAGGGACAATGCGACAGCCTGCGGCAGACCAACACGAACCCGTTGTAATAGAACTGTGCTTCTGTCCACTCTCAAAGTCCGCACGGGATAATGGAAACCATGGAAACACTGGCCCTATGCCTCCATCCTCCTTATACAGGCTTTGCGGCTCTGTCCGACTGGAGAGGAGATACATTTCAGTTAAATTGTGTGCAAGCGTAAGGTTTGTGAGGCAGGGCTGACTGTAACATGTTTTGTTGATTTAGTCAAATGTCTAGACTCAGGGTAGAATAAAAATAAAAAGGGATTTTGATTGGTCTTCATTGATTGCGTTTAGTTTTGAAAGTGTTGTAATTTAGGTCATCCAATGACAATAGGCTTAGTTAATTAGTGTTTTGGAGGGGAATGGAA